AATGAAAAATCTGAAAGTTACTTTAAATTCCGGTGATGAATTAAAAAACATTGGTTTTTAACATTTATACTATAAAAACCACTATTTATGAGCCCAAAATGAAGCTTTCCTGACATATTTGCTAGAAATGCTTACGTCACTGGTTCAATTAGGCCTATGCCAGAAACAGTTTCTATCTGTTCGATTTATAACACGTCTACAAACCTTAAAGCAATAATAACTCTTCGTTTCGGCCAAAAAAAATGAATTTTCCTGGAGTAAACAACAATTTTCCCATACTTACCAATGGTTAATGAATCCATTTTTACATTCAAAGTTAGTCCCTGGTTTTTTTCTAAAAAGTTTGGTTTTTTGTTAAAATCTCTTAAGAGATTTTAACAGAGTATAGACATCAATGGAGGTCACGTGGTCTGAAGACAAGTTCAAATATCAGAATAAAAGCTATAACTGCTGTTTTTGTGGTAAAACAGAATATATTATATTTCTATGAGTTATTCACAAGGTTTTTATTGTGAAATATAGGTCTCATACGAAGAGTTATTATCCCTTTAAGCATAACAAAAAAGTTTTAAGACAGATTATTACCGCTACATGCACCAGTTTATATTATTGGTCCACTTTTCTGTCGTGGTAATTTCTTATATTCTTATTCTTATTCTTATTATTATTATATGATATTCCACTATGATCAGAACCGACCTATTAGGTGCATTGCCGCCGTCAAAATCGAACCAATCCATGATGTATTGGATTTTGTCTCTTGAAAGGTATCCAAAAAGACCACATAAAATATACCCATGGAAAAAGACACCCCGTCCACGATAGCGTGTAACAAGAAGGAGGCCAAAACCACCAGCCAGCCCCACCCGCCATCAGGGGCTTTGCTGTTAACGTCATCGTTGTTGTTGATGACGTCACCACTTTCAGTGCTCACGTGATTATCGTTGGAGACAGAATTGGAGATGACACTGTAATGGTTGCTGTTGTTCACATTTTCCTCGGGTATCTTTGTGAAATTAGTTGCACTGTCCATGGAATCACTGACGAAGCTGAGGTTGATGTTGCCACTGTGGTTATTATCGTACCTGTATCCATTGCCGATGCGACTATTGGCGCAGTTTTTGTCGGTGTTTTCCTCACAGCTGACAGTTTTGACATCCGAGTCGTTCGCGTCATTTCCATTTAATGCTTCAGATTGAATACCCGTGTTGGGCTTTCCTGGTTGCTTTTCAGAATATGACCTTGAACGATGTATAATTATGTCGGATTTGTCATCCATGTCTGCCTCTGAAAATATAACAACATCCGATAAGATATCAGTAACATTTAGAGAAAACAGTACAGTGATCTACTATACTGTTCTGACTACCACAGAGTCATCTGCTATGTACCGGTATGCAAATAAATTCTTAACAGCCTACATAAAGAATTTATTTAGCCTGAGCCTGTTCAGTGTAAAATGACACGCACAATTATACAGCGGGTTTCGAGAACAAAAGATGCAGAGGCTATTGGAATAATGGCAAAATATCACGACCAGTAACTATACGACCCCTTTTGTCTTGTATTTAAATTAAAGACGCACTTGAAGACACGTAATCTCACATTAAACCACCTTAATTCATGATATGCTTTATGTGGGCCACTGCCAGACATGAAGACCCCCCCCCCCTCGAGAGGGTAGTTGGGTACCATTGCCTATCCTCACCTCTCCTCATATCGACCGAGCGCAATCTTGGTGATTCGACGCTATTCCATAACTCGAAAGCATCACAAATCGCGACCGAGCCCTTAAAGCGATACCACCTTTAGTTACGAGGCTATTATTTGCGAAGAGTAAATCCCGTCGCAGTGGTCTTCGCGCATGCATAATTCGTCGTTTTATAGTGACGTTCATGTAATTAAACATGACGGCAAGTTTGAGTTGCTTGTCATAATGGCATATCACAAAGCACGAAAGCTTATAAAAGATTGAGTCACTCGGTACCTCTGATATAAAAATGCAGTAAATTTTCACATGAAGAACGCTTAAGTCATGTTTAATTATGCATAACAAAATTCAAAATTTAACATTTCATACATCATTTTATATTTTTTCTGATTAATATAGTTCATCTGTGTAGTATATTAATAATAAGCCTAAGTTAAAAAGTTTTATTTTCTACACAAAAGGAAAAAAAAACAGAAACAAAGCATTCGATCATGCGGTGACTGTTATTGTGAGACTGAACACTACTCACCAATGATCAGTAATTGTGTCAGTCCAAACACGTGTGCTTCGCTTATTGAATTGTGTTTGACATTCTATTGGTGGCAAATAGGCCTTGTTCAAATATCATCATTTCTAATTGTGATATTCCTTTAAATAAAAACAAACTCTTGATTAGCTATTAGTTATGACGTCTTCACTTTATGCGGCAATCAAATTTTAGTAGCGATTGAGGCTATAATTGCGCTGCGTTGCTTAAGCTTCGAGTAAGCAGGTGGGTGCAGTCGCCATCGCAAATAGCGATTGATCGCTGTGCTTGCGTGCGGTCGCTATTTGCGATGCTTTCGAGTTATAGAGCCATATGTCGCCCACTATGGCCGCATTCACAACCAAAGTCGATCCGCAGACTTACAGAATCGCGGATCAAATATGACCGACCCACTTATTTGACAATTTGACAATTTGGTGACGAGATGCATGTGTTTTATATACATGTGTATGTACATGCATAAAATGTATCACCTACACACATCGAATATATGACTACCGAATTAAATTATCTACACGAAAACAAAGTTTCAATCAAACGTAAGACTTCTCGAGATTGTTGTCTCAGTCAATAAAATATTACAAATTATATCTCCTCCTAGACAATCAGGCGCAGTAAGACTTAAGGCTATTCTTCCGACCCCCTCACGTTCCATCACGTGCTTGACTGCATCACGTGTGTGTAAACAAGTTAGGCCCCGTTTCCATCGGCATCAGCCTGTATGAGTCACGTAGAACCCAACAATGCCCTATAGGATGCCCTTTAAGAAATGTTCGTGGGGAAATTCTAGGTCACACAATGGAAACATTTGACGCGAGAACGTTTACTGCGTATATCAAAACAGTCGCTTGTGTACATAACACAGAGGGCACGCATGTTCATAATAAACAAGGATTGTGTTTCTCCCCACACATTCCAGAAGCGTCCCTTTGTCCGGGAAAAAAGATGAATGAAATACTGATAGATACTGTGTGTATGTACCTGTATCAAGCCGAAGTGTGTGTGTGTGTAGGAGGTAGAGAGCAGGCGTTTCCCTTCACCCCTCCCCTCCCTTCATTAANCCGGTTAATTCAGGATCCTTAGGTGCCGAGTCTGGTAGTTGGGTAGGCCTGTTAACGGCCTAAACAGATTAAATATGTCGTCGGAGTTAGCCCTTAAGGTAAACACGCAATCTGTTTACTGTTATAACTGTGATGTAATGCAGGCATATACTATGATTTCAGACTATAAACGAATAAAAGAGACGAAGAAGAGAAAAAAAAGACACTTACTTTTTTTCTGCGTTGTTACGTACGACAGCCTTAATGCACTGAATCGGACACGCACAGTTGCGATTAAAGCAAGGAGTAAGTGGAAAGTTATAAGTGACATGATTTGACCTACCTGGAGTTACCTGCATGCACAGTAAACATGTTTTTATCTAACGTAACATGTTGTGCTCAGGCCACCGGGTCACTTACTGACCTCGTGGCTACAACGCCAATGTGGGGCTCTTATCGCTGCTAATGGACAACAAACAGGTGCTATATTGATCTACTATACACGCTAGGCATATGTTAGAATGGTGGGTATACCTGATATAAAATACACTATATTATGTTTTTGTATCTGTGTTTATATTAAGCCCAGTGCAGGAAGCTTACAAATGTGTCTTATTTATCATTTACCGGGGTACAGCACAATATATCATAAAAAAAAAAAAATAAAAAAAAAAAAAAAAAATAATAATAATAATAATAATTATTATTATCATTATTATTGCAGGGCCGGAGGGTGGCGTTACTGTGGGCAGTTGTCCTCCCAGCGAGTTCTGGAGTTTCTCGCTAAATTGCATTTAGGTATTTAATGCGTGAACGAAAGTTAAATACCCTTTAGAAGCTTCAGTGGCGTGACACATTTAAGACGAGAATCCCCTCAGAGTAAGATCGATCCTGATAGGGTTTAGGGAACCGAGTCTAGGACCCTGCTATTACTTCCGCCAAGGAGGTTATATTTTCATGCCGTTTAATTGTCTGTCTGCTTGCTAGTTCATTAGCAGCCAAAGTCAAAGAGTTATGTTTGAACTTTGGTCAAATTTTAGGATACCAGTAGGTCGGAAAAAGAATAATAAAACTTTAAAAAATGACCGGACTTTGGTGGTTAATTAATTAATTATCAGTTAACTATTATTTACTTATATGTCTGGTATTTGTCTGAGGCATATGCTCTCTGAGTGTTTTTATAATTATAATTTCAATTATTGTGCCTATGGAACCATTCCCAGACCCTATAGTACTACCTGTGGATCGTTCTATCTCCTAGGGGATTCTCGCTAAATAACTATCAATTTAAGCGGCTTACATATCTGCCACGCCTACCGAGGCGGCTAGGGAGTAATTACTTATCGTTTAGCAGCTTCAGTACGCGTGCCAGACATTTAAGCCGCTTAAGCTGAAAGACATTTAGCGAGAAGCCCCTTGGAGATGGATCGGTCCTGCTGGATCGATCTAGGCATGGGAACCCAGTCTATGACAATTTTTTGACAGACGTGAGTTGTCGAGGAAATTGTTGCCAATAAAACAACCAATTTTTTTTTGCCAATTACACTACATCAATTACATAGGAAGTGAAAACGAGATGGGATACCCCTTAACTTAATGGAATAATTTTGGGCAGAAGAGTACATAATGCATTTTTGAAGCCAGTAATGGGATGTCTCCGGCTATTTAAAATGCTGTTTACGGTAAATGTATATAAAGGTCAGTGCGCTGATCAAAATACAGAAGCTGCCTTTAGAAGACATTGCTGCTACAGGGAGGATTCACAGTTGATTTAAAGGTAATTCATCTTTTAAACTGTCAAACAAAGATATGTAAAGGATGTATTACAACATTTAGACTCTCATCCTCCAAATAGGATGATGAATACAGAAGTTTCTCTAAAACAATGTACATGGCAGGATTTGCAAGCTTTTTTTTAATTTTAATAACATCGATTATGCATTTCCTTATTTTTCTTAAATATATATTTATTTTAAACTAAATACGAAATTTCTTTAAAATCTAATTATTAGAAAAATATATTTACAAGAAAAACAACTATTACAGTTTAACAGTTAGATAATTTATATACCCCTATACATTGTAGAATACTGAAATGTACATTATATATTACTTAAATATGCCTTCAAATTAGAGTAAATGAAGGTTAGAGTTACTTTGAAGTTTTCTCATTTTCTACAATATTGCTTTATATAATGTACTAGTGTACTTTCTTTCATATAATCTTTAAATATCATAACCACATCTATTATCCTCGCATTTTATTAAGGCATTTTCTGTTTCCCCAAAGATAAAGATTAACATCAGCTTATATGGTTATACCGTACATTTATGATTACATACAAAGAAATGCCTTATAAATGAAATTGATTATATTTCAGACTTAGTTACATTTTCTTTTAGCATAATGTTTAAGGAATCAATCAAATCATGCGATAAAAGGAAAACTCGTAGAATACTATGCTCACGATGAAAATAACGGCATAAAAGTCAGTTACTTAGTGAACCAACACTCACATGCTATTGTTTTCCATCAGTATGCAGATGTATACAGTTTTCATGCTGCTGGTCGTGGCTGTCGTCGCCAATGCCAATTTCATCATCTTTCCTATATCGGAAAATGGAGGTAAAATCTAAAATAACTTGTTTTATGAAATAAAAAATGGGTTCATATATATAACACGGTTAGCAATTGCTGCACGTTATATTTCAGCGTAAAACGTTTTTTGTTTTGCCTTTATAGATTTCAACCCCAAGTTACTGTTTTTGTGGCAGAATATCTGGTCGTTATTAATCCCCATTCCTTTTAAAACGCATCTTTATTTTTTTTTCATCACAAGAACTCAATTAACCCCTCTTCCCCATTTAATCCAGTGTGTTTGGATTACATTCCATTCCATTACTCTCCTTTCCAGAATGCCCAGGGAATTTAGTCAAAACCACAAGCGATTGCGATTTGGCATGCGCGCGCACTTGCAAAAATCCCGGGCATCCGGCCTGCTTCCGGATATGCTGGCGTGAGTGTGTCTGTCCACCAGGTGCCCCACTGCTCGTGGACAAGGCAAACTGGATTTGCGGCTCCAGCGCAGACTGTCCTAAGTAGTGATTTCTGCCTGCTGGCATTAAGCATGACGCGTAATGAATCCCGAAGTTTTGAGATGTGATTCACGATAATGAAAATAAAAGTCGTGAAATCCAAAAGATGTTTCTTTGTTTGTTTGATTTTTTTCAAAAGAATGTTGTGAATAATAAATGTTAAAAAGATGAAGGTTGTGTTTCCCTTCCAACAAAAAATGGAACCGACAGCGGTATATTAAAAAAAAAAAAAAAAAAAGAAAATATTTTTCTTGCATTGAATATAAATAATGCAAAATGTTCGTCAACAAAAATAAAGTACAAAACGTCACAGACGTACAAGTCCATCATCGTGAATAAAGGAAAATCGTATTATTCCACTATATTACAGTGAAGTTAATTAAGCTGTCAAGGCCGTTTGGCAATAATATCTTATCCATTAAAGGTACACCATGTTACTTTGAAATGATGTAAAGTCATATTTCCTGTGTATGCAGATAAGGCAGCTGCTCATCTTTACAAATAATAATAATAATAATAATAATAATTATAATAATAATAATAATAATAATAATAATAATAATAATAATAATAATAAAACGAAAGAACCTCTCACATAAAAACAACTGGTGTCGTGTTTTCTTCTGGAGTGCACAGATGGACATTGCAGCCATATCAAGCCAGTCATTTAGAACTAATTACATTATGTAATCAGGGACAGATTGACCGCGTAGGAGAAACGGCTATTTTTTATTTTTATTTATTTACTTATTTTGTTATAGGAAAAAGCGATTTGACGGGAAATTGCCGAATTCGATACCTTAAATTACACAGCGGCTGGTTTGTCCGGGAAACGGAATAAAGATGATTCGTGGCTAATCATATAAAATGATGTTATTCTAGTAAAAGTACATTCAATTTACTGCACAATTTTGAAAAGAGCTAGGTACCAATTTCTAGTTCACGGTCAAAAGCTAATGCATGTCACGTTTTGAAGTAAACTAATGGGAGTAAAATAACACATTTTACAGCATATATTATTCCATTATATTACAGTGTGGTTAATTGAGCTGTCAAGGCCGTTTGGCAATAATATCTTATCCATTAAAGGTACACCATGTTAGTTTGAAATGTTCCAAAGTCGTATTTCCTGTGTATGCAAATAAGGCAGCTGCTCATCTTTCCCAATAATAAAAAGAACAAAAAACGAAAGAACCCCTCACATAACAACAACCGATGTCGTTCGTGTTTTCTACTGGAATACACAGATGGACATTGCAGCCCAATTAAGTCACTAGCCAGTCATTTAGAACTAATTATATCATGTAATCAGAAACGGTGTAAAGCATCGAACCCAACTGACTAGACAGGTCGACCGAGTAGGAGGAACGGCTATTTTTATTTTCATTTTTTTTGGAAAGGCTATTTGACAGGTAATTGCCGGATATGATACCTTAAATAACACAGCAGCTGGTTTGTTCGGGAAACGGAATTAGATAATTCGTGGTTAATCATATAAAATGATGTTATTCTAGTAAAAGTACATTCAATTTACTGCACAATTCAGAAAAGAGCTGGACATCAATTTCTAGTTCACGGTCAAAAGCTAATGCATGCCACGTTTTGAAGTAAACTAATGGGAGTAAAGTAACACATTTTACAGCATATAAGGCCAATTATTGCCTCTTGTAGCTTCTTACTATACAGTATGTTCTTTCCTTTCTTTTCTTTCTGATGTGTGTGTGTGCGTATGTGTGTGTGTGTGTGTGTGTGTGTGTGTGAGAGAGAGAGAGAGAGAGAGAGAGAGAGAGAGTCGATATGCGTGTGTGTGTGCGCCCGCGCGCTCGTGCGTGTGCAAGAGAAACAGAGAGAGAGAGAGAGAGAGAGAGAGAGAGGCGAGAGGGAGGAAGAAAGAAAGAGAATGGATGTGTGTGTGTGTGTGTGTTAGAGAGAGAAAAAGAATAAAGAATACGAGGGAGTGAGAGAAGGCGCAAATGCATATGCGCGTATCTGTGTATATGTGTGAGGGTATGCATGCGCTCACGTGTGTGTAATTATCTAGTGAAATAAGTTGGGTTGAAATTCGCTCTAGTGAGCCCACTGATAGCAGCTGAAAACATTGACGACGATACTACAATTAATCATGTGACGGAAAATAACTGACAAAAGACAACTTACTCTAGGACTCAAATTAACTTGACATTACAAGCCTACACTCCTCGACCCC